TCACTGTGCAGAAGATTTTTATGTTGATATAATCCCAATAGTTTATTTTTTATTTTATTTCCCTTGTCTCAGGAGACATATCTAGAAAAATTTGCTATGGCTGATATCAGAGAGATTATTGCCTGTGCTCTCTTCAAGGATTTTTATGGTTTCAGGTCTCACATGTAGGTATTTAATCTATATTGAGTTTTTTTTTGTGAATGGTGAAAAAAGTGGTCAAGTTTCATTCTTTTGCATGTGGATGTCTAGTTTTCCCAATACCATTTGTTGAAGAGACTGTCTTTTCCCTTTGTATATTCATTCCTCCTTTGTTGAAGATTAATTGACCAAATAGTTGTGGGTTTATTTCTTTTTTTGTTGTTGTTCTATTCCGTTGATCTATATGTCTGTTTTTATGCCAGTACCATACTGTTTTAATTACTATCACTTTGTAATGTGACTTGAAATCTGGAATTGTGATACTTCCATTTGTTTTTCTTTTTCAAGATTGCTTTGGATATTCAAAGTCTTTTTCATTCCATACAAATTTTAGGATTGTTTGTTCTAATTCTGTGAAAAATGATGTTGGTATTTTGATAGGGATTGCATTAAATCTGCAAATTGCTTTGGGTAGTATAGGCATTTGAACAATATTTGCTCTTCCAATCCATGAGCAGAGAATGTCCTTCCATTTCTCTGTGTCATCTTGAATTTATTTCATCAGTGTTTTAAACTTTTCAGAATATAGGTCTTTCACCTCTTTGGCTAAGTTTATTCCTAGATATTTTGTTGTTTTGATGTAATTATATATGGGATTGTTTTCTTAATTTCACTTTCTGCTGTTTCATCATTAGTGTATAGGAATGCAAAAGATTTCTGTACATTGATACTGTATCTTGACTTTGCTGAATTCGTTTATTAGTTCTAGTAGTTTCTGGGTGGAGTCTTTTGGGTTTTCTTTCTATAGTATCATGGCATCTATTAATAGTGAGCTTTACTTCTTCCTTACCAATTTGGATGCCTTTTATTTCTTGATGTTGTCTAATGTCTGTGGCTAGGAATTCCAGTACTATACCGAATAAAAGTGGTCAGAGTGGACATCCTTGTTTTGTTCCTGATCTTAGGGGAAAAGCTCTGTTTTTCACCATTGAGTATGATGTCAGGAATGAGTTTTTCATATAAGGCCTTTATTATGTTAAGGTTTGTTCCCTCTAGACCTACTTTGCAGAGGGTTTTTATCATTAATAGATGTACTTTGTCAAATGCTTTTTCTGCATCTATTGAAATGATACGGTTTTAACCTTTTCTCTTACTGATGCAGTTTTATATAGTTTAAAAAAATGCTTTATCTTCTAAATTCTAAACTTGAATTTAAAGTTATTTATATACTACCACTATATAAAGTGGTATATATAAAGTATATACACTTATTTATATACTACCATTATATACTGTGTTACAGGATTTTGGTTTTGTCTATATATTTTCTTATGCTTTATTTTGCTGTCTAGTTTTCATTCATTTTGACTTGAAGGACTCCCTTTAGCAGTTCTAGTAAGGCAGGTGTATTGGTGATAAACATTCTCATTTTTATCTTAGAAGGTCTTTATTTCTCCTTCATTCTTGAAGTAGTTTTCCAGATCTAGTATTCAAGGCTGCTTCTTTTTCTTCTTCTTCTTCTTCTTGCACTTTGAATATATCAACGCACACTCTTCTATCCCAAAATGTTTCTGCTGAGAAATCCACTGATAATCTTATGGGAGTTTCCATATACACGATGAGTAGCTTTTCTGTTGCTGCTTTCAAGATTATTTCTTTGTGTTTGGCCATTTGATTATGATATATCTCAATATGGGCCTCTTTGGATTCACCTTCGTTGGAATATTTGGAGGTTCTTGAATGTATATGTTCATTTACTTATTCAAATTTGGAAGTTTTCCGCCCTATTTTCTCTCTCTTCTCCTTCTGGGACTTCCATAATGCTTATATTGGTCTACTTAATGGTATTCTATAAATCCTTTAGGCATTCTTTTTGTTCTTCTGGCTTGATAATTTTCATATTACCTATCTTCAAGTTTGCTGATTCTTTCTACTGATTGTCTTCTGTTGATCCCTCCTTCTAATAAAATTTTTCAATTCAGTATTTTTCTCTAAAATATCTTTTTGGTTCTTTTTTGTAGTTGTTCTTTATTGATATTCTCATTTCATTCATTCATCATTTTCCTGATTTTATTTAGTTGTCTGTGTACTCTAGTGCATTGACCTTCTTTAAGACAATTGTTCTGAACTGTCAGGTAATTTACAAATATCCATTTCTTTAGGGTCAGTTTTTGGAGGTGTTTTTTATTCCTCAATTGGGCCATATTTCACTATTTCTTTGTGTTTCTTGTTATATCTCGTTTTGAATTTAGCATTACAGCCTTCTCTTATGAACTGGCTTTGTATAGGGGAAGACCTTCACCAATCAGTCCAGGTAGAGATCATGGGGGCTTCTCAAACCTTTAATGAGGATGTGTCTCTTTTGGGCTTGTGTGTATAATTTCCTAATTAGAGAGGTTTCTGGTTTATCAGTGGCTTGTCATCTTCCGCTCCCTCTACTGTCTGCCAGCAGCACTGCAAATTTTTGGTGCTTCAACAAACCACTGAGGTCTTTTGTTCTCTGCCCTCAGGTCTCCATGTTTCCATCAGTACTTTAGATTCTGTCTTACCTGAGTCAGTCTCTTGGGGATCCCCCTGAAAAGGAGGAACACTGAATGTACATTCTGCTTTTCTATTTCCCTCTCATGAAAGAAGATGCAAGTTGGGCTTTCCACCTGAATATGAGCTGTGACAATTTGGGGGAGGAGATGACACAATCAAAATGAAATGAGATGGCTGTGGCTATTCTGGACTTTCAGCTTGCCTGGGATACTATGATTTCCTAAATAATTTCTGGGGTTTTCATGAAGGTTTTTTGGAACATATCCTGTTGTTACATATGTGCTACCTATTCTGACATCTTGCTGATGTCACTCTCCATTGATAATTTTATGGAGTATTTTCCCATTGTTTTTCTCCTAATCTAACTATACTGTTATGTTTGAAGTAAGTATATTGAAATAGCATATAGTTAGGTCATGTTTTTAATCCACTCTGCCAATTTGTACATTTGAAGTGGTGTATTTAGACTGTTTATATATTTTTTATTTTATTATGTTATGTTAATCACCATACATTACATTATTAATTTTTGATGTAGTGTTCCATGATTCATTGTTTGCATATAACACCCAGTGCTCCATTCCACACATGACCTCTTTAATACCCATCACCAGGCTAACCCACCCCCCCACCCCACTCCCCTCTAGAACCCTGTTTGTTTCTCAGAGTCCATAGTCTCTCCTGGTTTGTCTCCCCCTCCGATTTATATTTAATGGAATCATTGATATGTTAGGGCTTCTGTCTCCCCCATCCACTCTTCCCCTGCATTTTTATGGATTTATTCAATTATTTAATACAACCTTATGATGTGTTAATAATGTTTTTTAGTGTATCTTTTTGTATATTTTTTAATGGTTGCTTTACTTGTCACAGTCTTTTTGTGTCATCATTACTACTATATTGAGGTAACTATAAAAACCTTGCTCCCTTTACCTCACTTTATCCTCTCTCATTTGTAATTGCCTTAAATATTTCCTCTAGGATATTTTTGTTAGGTATAGGATTCTGGATTGCCAGTTGTTTTATTTCAGCGCTTGAAACAGATGAGATTTTCTTCTGGCTTCCATGGTTTCTGATGAGAAATCCACTGTCATCCAATTGGTGTTGCACTATTTGTACTGCATCATTTGTCTTGTTGCTTTCATGATTTTTTACTTGATGTTTAGAAGTTTGACTTCTAAGTGTTCAGAAGTTTGACTATGATGTGTCTTGTAGATTACGTGTTCATTCAGCTTCTGGAATCTATAGGATTAGACATGTCTATTGCCAAATTTAGGAAGTTTTCAGCTATTATTCTTTATGCAATTTTTCAGCCTTGATATCTTTCTTCTTTCCTTCCTCACTGTACTTGCAGTGACCCAAGAAGAGGGAAATGTGTGGCTCCTCATTACTGCTGGGTGTTGGTTGGAATTATGGTTCCCCATATGATCTCCTCTAAAACTACAGGTGATGGGTTTCATTACCAACCAGCAGGGTTAAAAGTTCTGTACTGAGCTTTTGCTCAATGTCAGAAACTGATGCTCTCCACTTAGCCTCTGCTGGAGTGGGTTGTTGTGGGCCATAGATTTTTCTGTGGTGGTAAGAGAGATTAGTTTCTAACAGTTTTCTATCTTGATAGGTCCCCTTATCTCATCCTTTGGCTAGAGAGTGCTAGCTTTTGTTGGGCTTTTTTTATTGTTTTATCTGTGCCCATTGGCAGTTCCAAGTTGCTAGCTACTTCAGCTCCAAGTCTGGGATATATGAAGCAAAAAGAAAACCTAACAAACTCACCATCATGTCATTTCTTGGGTGTTGGGGGACCCTAGACAGCTTCACTTCTCTCCACCTTTTCCAATCATCTTATGTTTGTTTAATATATAATACCCAGGGCTTTGAGTAGTACTTAGTGGAAAAAATAGGAAAAAGTATATCTGTTCTATATCTCATAAGAAGAGCCCTTTATAATCTTTTAAATATCTTTATCTGTTGTTATGTCTCTATTTCCATTCTTTTTTAAGATTTTTTTTTTATTTATTCATGAAAGGCAGAGAGAGAGAGAGAGACGCAGAGGGAGAAGCAGGCTCCCAAGGAGCAGGGAGCCTGATGCGGGACTCGATCCCAGGACCCTGGGATCATGACCTGAGCCAAAGGCAGACGGTTAACCATCTGAGCCACCCAGGCGCCCCTCTATTTCCATTCTTAAGATTAGAGCATGAAGTCAGTTGCTACAGGAAGTAGTGATATTTCTGGTACTGCCTAGAGCACAATTATAGGAAAGTGTAAAAATTCAATAAAATCTTTTGTTGATGAATTAATGAAGTCATAAATCACATCCCACTTACCCAGTAATAACAATTTCTGGATATGTTTGTGTTCCAAGGTTCCAAGCTCCTCCACTGATTGGCCACTCCTAAATAGATTATTCAGGAAGAATTTATGAGTTTTATTTTTTAAATTTAAATAACAAACATTTTAAATGAAAACATTTTAAAATAATGGCAAACTATTCACTTAAAGGAAATAGCTGTAAAGTAACAAAGGATGAAGTGTGCAGCTATCTTTTAATTCTTTCACTGAACAAACAATTCCAAATGCACAATTCTATCTCCTTTAAAAATATAAATTTTAACAAATATTACCATTTACATAAAAAGTACTTAAAAAGTATTTTAATCATACAAATACAGTGTTGCTACATTTGCCACATAGTCTGTGTACCACCAAACTATCATAGTTCTATTTAACACAGAATACTATGTAAATTGTGCCCCCTTGAGTTGTCCATTCCAACAGCCTTGTGCAAATAGAAATCATAAAGAGGGAGTCTATTACTATTGTAAGTATTTGAATCCTGTAGTTAAATACAACAAAATGGAATTTAGAAAGTTATTTAACAAATGACTATTGTGTCTTGTTAGCCACTGAATAACAATTAACTGAAAAGAGTTGACTCTTGAATTTTGTAAAACATAATCCTTTATCTAAAATAGTTAAAAACTACATTTTATGGTTCAAATATATATTTAGTATATAAATATATATGATAGGTAACTATATCTCAGTATATAAGTATATACTAAGTATATAAGAAATTTATACTCTTTAGGCTTAAAGCTATGTAGCATTTAGGAAATTTAAATTTCACAAGTTATGCCTTTTATAGATAAGAGCTTATGACCACAAAAGAATTTAGCTCAAGTCTTCTTATATGGAAGGTCAAAAAGAACAGGAAATAGTATGATCATATAAAGAAAACTTATTTTTAATTGTTACTTTTACCTTATTACTGTATCCTTGTTTTTTATGCTTGACTCCTATAGAGTAGAGTACTAGAATCAGATCTGGTGGGCAATCAGCAAAGTATGCTGTGCATGTAACTGGTGATTCATGAATGTCCATGGGATATGGATTTTCAAAGATTGGAAAACTAACAGATGAAGACAATATATTAGTGTTATATTGCAAATATAAAAAATGAAATCACTTTTATAAAACAAATCCTAAAATCTTCTAAATATTACATATTTCACTTAAGTATCATAAAACAAGGATCACATGAACAAGAATGTTCTTTTAAGATTATCTGCAAAATGTAATATGAATACTGGTAGAATTTTACTTGAATAAATTCACTGTCTTTTCTGTAATTCCAAAATTCCACAGTGATACCACCTTGCTAATATGAACAGAACGAATTATGTTAAACTGAAAATGTATTCGTCAAGTTGACTTATTAGTGAATGTATTAAAGCATATCAATTAGGTGTTTTATCTATGTACAGTTTCATGTAAATATATAATATAAATGCTAAAATATCTTAGTAATCTTGACATGTGTTTCCTAGTGAGGTAATACATACACAAGTGTTTCTGGTCTTTTGCAGGAATAATTGAAAGATGAGTTTGCTATGTAGGTGTGTGTATGATTATATATGTTTAAGATCATTTCCAAAGTAAACTAGAGAACATAGTAGGAATACAGACTTATGGATATAGTAAATTTCATATCCTCAAGCCTACCATAATTTTAAAAATGGGTATCAGTATAGAACCACATCAAGAATTCTTACAGCCATAACATACCGTGCACTTCTTATGTACCAGATGTAAAAGGAACTGTAGTAGAAGGCATGGAGTATTAGTCTATGCTGCATATGTTCTAGGTCTGTATGTTCATGTTACAAGGTCATGAGGGCTAGTAAAAATAATTTTCCCCATATCATTAGGAACTTAGTTAAAAACTTAGTCTAATCTCTGGAGAGTATGATATGCGCATGTATTAGCAAGAATTTTCTTCCCTCTGATCTGAAATACTGCAGATTTCTATCCCAGATAAGAATAGTGGTATATGCAAAATCAGGTGGAAAGGAGCAAGTTGAATTTAATAAATGACATATCTGATAAAGGATTGGTGCCCAAAATATATAAAGAAATTATACGACTCAACACCCCAAAAGTGAATAATCCAATTAAAAGATGGACTGAAGATATGAATAGACATTTTTCCGAATTAGACATTCAGATGGCCAACAGGCATATGGAAAGATGCTCAACATCAGTTATCATCAGGGAAATTACAAATCAAAACTACAATGACCTATCACCTGTCAGAATGGCTAAAATCAACAGCACAAGAAACAACAGGTGTTGGTGAGGATGCAGAGAAAGGGGAATGAGTGTCTTACACCGTGGCTAGGAATGCAAACTGATGTAGCCACGCTGGAAACAGTACGGAGATTCCTCAAAAAGTTAAAAATAGAGTTATCCTATGATCTAGCAATGCACCTCTAGGTATTTACTCAAAGAATACAAAAATACTAATTTAAAGGGACACATGCATCCCAGTATTTATAGCAGTATTTTCTACAACAGCCTAACTATGGATGCAGCCCAAGTGTCCACCAACTGTTGAATGGACAAAGAGGATATAGTATATATACACAATGGAATATTAGCCATAAAAAAGAATGAAATCTTGCCATTTGCAATGACATGGATGGAGCTACAGAATATAATGCTAAGAGAAATAAGTCAGTCAGAGAAAGACAAATACTATATGATTTCACTCATATGTAAGAATTTAAGAAACAAAACAAATGAGCATAGGTAAAAAAAGAGAGCAAACTAAGAAACAGACTGTTAACTATAGGGAACAAACTGATGGTTATCAGAGGGGAGGTGGGTAGGGGAATGGATTAAATAGGTGACAGAGATAAAGGAGTACAGTTGTGATGAGCACTGGCCATTGTATGGAATGCTGAATCACTATATTATACACCTGAAACTAATATTATGCTATATGTAAACTAATTGGAATTTAAATAAAAACTTGAAAAGTATAAAGTACTACCTGGACCCAGAAATAAATTAGAGAGATAGCAAGTAGGTTAAAATAGATGGATTGGCTGTTCTCTGTTTCAGAGTAGAAATCAAACACTTCTGAGATTGATGAATTAGAAGTAAAATACATGAGTCACCTTAATGACCACACCTATAACTTGGGATTTGATAATAGCAAGAGGTTACAATGATAGACTCCTGACAAGGTGAACAATATCATGAAAATGGGGAAAATTACTTTAGTATATTGGCAATGAGTAAAGAAAAAAATAGTCAAGTAAAAAGTAACAAAATGTATTATAAGAATTTAGATATGGAGATGTAAGCAAAGATATAAATCCAAGAAATCAAGAAGAAAAATTTGTAAGCCCTAATGTTTGTTTTTATATAAACAATTAAATGGAAAAAAGGAGAGAAGGGAAGAAGAGTTAAATTACTTTGAAAAGGAGTATAAAACTGCAATATAATAACATGAAATATGGTTAAAGGTAATTGAAAGGAAAGAGAATATGTTAAATTTCTTGTAATAGGCAATGATATGGGGATGTCACAAAGATTTTAAAACATGGTGCTGCTGAAGGTGAAATAAAAAGTAGCGAAAGGTCATTTCACATACTTATATAAACTAAAGAAAAGCATAAGAATAAATGTATATACTGAAAACACTGAGTATTAAAGGTATAGTGGGCCTTGAAAGATATTAGCCAATCAGATAAGGTATAAGAAACCATGAAATGTGGCACAGAAAGAAGAGTACCACTGAGATCAGAACAGTACATTTTAATAAAACCAATATTAGAACTTAGAGGAAGAGACATAAATCCATACATGTATATAAAATTTAATCAAGTTTAATGTTGATAAATAGAATAGCCAGGAAGAATCAGTGATGATGATCTTATGGCCCTAATACTACATCCCTTTCAAAATACCGAAATATATGCTGCAAATGAGCATAAAGTACTTTGGCTCTGACATTTTTTGGTAAAGATTTACTTATTTATTTGAGAGAGAGAGAGCATGGTGGGGAGGTGCAGAGGGAGAGGGGAGAATCTCCAGTAGACTCCTCGCTGAGTGAGGAGCCCAATGCAGGGCTCAATTCCATAACCTTGAGATCATGAGCTGAGTTGAAATCAAGAGTCAGACACTTAACCAACTGAGCCACCCAGGTGCTCCTGTCTCTGACATTTTTAAATGACATAGAAAGTAGAACTCCCAGGCTTTAAGTCATTCAACAGAAATTTACTGAGAACCTACTCCATGTGCAGACAAAGCTCCTCCTTCATGATACCTATACTGTCTAGTAGAGAATCTTTAAAGCAATAATAAACAAATGGAAAATTTTATCTGTGTCAGAGCTATGAAGGAGAGGAGAAGGGAAGTATGCAAGTCTGTAATAGGATATTTGACCCAATTTTATAGGTAATGAAAATAATTTTTAATGAGGAATGATATCTGAGTTGTTTCTTACAGATAAGATCTTAATAAGAGGAAAAAGGCAGGGGAAATTAATACATGCAGAGAAGAGAGAATATACAAAACTTCTGCATGTATAAGGGCTAAGAGAAGATCAGTGGGTCTAGAGTATAGAATGAGGGAAAATCAGAGTTAGGAAGAAGATAGAAGAGTAGGAGGATCCTGAGCTCACTTTCTCCCATGGACAAGATAACAACTACATCTGTGCAACTAACTCTGAAAATGATCTAAAGACTGGCAGAACAGACTGTCCTTAGTCAATTAGAGAGAAGAGTCACACTGAAAAAGGTAAGAGGGGCAGAGATGTAGTTGGGAACCAGATCCCTGCTAAGACTAGACACAAATGAGAGGGATACCAAGCATGGGGAAGCAAGAAGATTAGACCCCACACCAGGCATCCCAGGCACTGGGGATCTGCCCTGAGAAGATGAGTCTCCATTTACACAGGGCTTTAAAAACCAATGGGGCTTAACTCCAAGAAAGACAGAGGGAGATAGGAAACTGAGTCCCTGCCCTTAAAGATCCAGCATAATAAAAAACCCCAACTGAGACACAGCACAGAAGCAGTAGTTTGAAAATTTACTAATTTCAAAACGTGCAACGGAGGGACAGCGATCTTCAGACTTCTCCAAGAACAAGTGTTGGTGGGTGCCATTTTTCCTCCCATCTCCCAGCCTAGATAGCTGTACACTTGCAAACCAGCCCTAACACTCTCCACATATCTTTCTAGAACTGTGTGCCCTACCCCATTCAACCCACCTGCAAAGCAGCTCCTGACCCTTTACATCCTGCAATCATCCCTGGTAAGGAACCAGTGCCACTCCAAAATGACTTCTACCCGGGGGAGAGGGGGAGACAACCCTACACAGCAGCATACCTACAATTCCAGCAACCAAGCCTTTTAGCGACTATGCAGAGAGAGAGCCCTGCTGGTCAGTGTATCCACAGTTATGGTATAGATTGCAAAACCTAGTCTAGTTCCTGGCCTCACCCATCAACAAAAGCATCTGTGGGCCAAACAGGGAGAAAGCCCTGCCATGGGGTGTGCCTCTGCAGAGGCTAATTGTAGACAGCGAGGCTGACTGTTGACCCCACCCACCTACAAGCCCACAGAGACCTTGGGTCCCTCAACAGCACAGGGACCAAATCCTGTCCAGTGCACCCAGAGAGGCAAAATGGATCATTGCAGCTGACTGGGTTAAGGACAGATGCTGCTCAGTCCACCCAACCCCTAGAGATTATATCCCAGGAACATCTAGCTCTGGTAACTAGGGGAAATATCACTAAAGGGCACCACAGGACCTCTTCTTCTTCTACATAAGACCACTATTTTCAAGACCAAGTGATATAGCTGACCTCCATAATACAGTAAAACAAACAGAGTTTGACAAAATGAGACAGAGGGATATGTCCCAAAATGAAAGAAAAAAATCACAGCAAAAGATCTAAGCAAAGCTGAGATAGGCAGTATGCCTGATAAAAATGCAAAGTAATGGTTATAAAGATACTCATTGGACTTCAAAAGAGAGTGGATGAATTCAGTGAGAACTTCAACAAAGAGAAAGAAAATATAAAACAGAACCAGGCAGAGATGGAAAATTCAATAATTGA